GAATGAAAATTTCCGGTGAATCAAAGACTTCGAATCGTGTTTCATTTATCGTGTTTCTCTTTTCCCTTTTCTCGAGATTTCGAAGGGCAGTTCATCGGGAGCACCGAGATTCCGGAGATCCCGAAACGGAACCGTGTTTCTGGCTTCTGAAGGCAGAGGTCACGGCACGGAAAGCATCGCCGAGAGCTGGGGGGGTGGAGGCAACGAGGAAATCGCAACGCGTCGTCACGGTGTTCCCGCGGGAAACGTTCCGAAGCTTCGTAATCCCGTTTCTCCCGTTCATAGTTTCGATTTTCCTTTTTCTTGTCCCCCTTGCCGCGCACTTAACGCTAAATATTATTACGAAAACGATTGGAAGCGTTATAGATTCGTCATGCGAGGCGACTCTGTAAAAAAATATACCTGTCTATACGGTGTGTGTTCGATCAGCGAATCGAAAAGAGTGCGCGCATGTTTCTAAGATGAAATGGTAAACAAAGCGTGTGCCGGCGAGCGTCGATTACTGCGAGTGCACGCTTGCGCGTCGATCGTTCGTTCGCTTCTCTAATTTATCAGGTTGAATCGTAAATAACTTCCGTTGCTTTCTGTTTCTTAATAGTTTCGACGGCTCGAGAACCGTTGCAACGGTTAATATTAATCGATCGCCGTATTTTGCATCGCCGTCGAATTGAAATTTTACCGGATTCCCAGCGTTAAGCGTTACTGAAATTTGTAGGCTAGTAATTTTTCGATGGCCACGGCGGAATTCGTTTATGACCCAACCTAATAACTGTACGTTGAATTCCTTTGATCGTAGCACGATGTCGAAGGCCGCTAGAAATGTAACCACGCGCACGGTATATATCCGCCGCGAAACGGGTTCTTTGCTATTTCTCGCTTTCTCGAAAATCAAACGAGAACGAGACGAAAAATGGTACACAAGGGTCACGCGATCGTTTCGAAAACGAACCACCTGTTTTCACTTTTCATTAAACCGTATTCCATAATGTCGGGATAAAACGATAAAATACTGTTGCACGCTTCGATCGTGTTGAAACGAAGTAATTTTTAAAGCTATGACTTCAACGTTGAGAATTTATACTGTGCACCGCGGCGCACCGTCTCGATTAAGAACATTTCGAGAAATAATGTATAGAGAACCGAGTAGAAAAGTTCGCGGGGAAAATTCTCGACTTCCGGATATAATCGTCGCGGAGGATTGCATCATCAAGAATAGCGAAGTTGAATCGAGAAAAGAGCTATTGCGAAACACATGCGTTTTATATACGTTTGAGAAACAACTGTCTGTAACGTTCTGGTAATTACCTGTCGCGCGCCGTGTTCCTTTTTCGTTTTTCACTGTCGCAGTAACATATCCAGGTACATATTTGATGCCACGCAAATAATTCGATTAAGATACAATTAAAGTTATTGTACAAGAAGAAATTCAAACCTTGGTAATTCGCTTTTCCATCTTTCGTTTCTTTCGTTTCTTTTTGTTTTGTTTTGTTTTTTACAATTTATAGGAACATCCGTTTGGAGGGTTCGCAGTTTAGATGTAATGACGAATGTAGAATCTTGGCTTTATTTCACGCGCTTCGAAGGCCTGCCGCGTTTCTTAGCCTCTGTGCTCACGGTAAGATTGAGGGTTGTCGATGATTTGGCAGTATGCGAGTCGATTGTTTTCTGTACACCACGGCCGACGTCGATTTTGTATAAGTCTAACTGGACAGATTCGCTCTCGATGGCTCTTCTGGATCGTCTGGTACGACCGGCTATTCTCTCCATCTCGTCGAATTTCGCTTGCAGTCTTTGCGCCAACTCGAAGTCTTCCCTTTCTTGTATAACCAGTCGCTCCATTCTCTCCTGCTCCTTGATTATCTCCTCGTCCGAAAGAACATTCCTCCCCGTGTTGATCACCGTTCCGTTACCATCATTATTCCCCGTAACGTTCTCTTGCAGTTCGCTGCACGACTCCGAGGAATTGTAATTTCCGTCGTCCGCGTTCCCGAACATCGCGTCCTGTTCGCTGTTCACGGAAGAGCTGTTCGCGTGCCCGGATTTCCGCGCGGTTCTTCTTAATCCAAAATTGGTCACATTGCAATTCGAACTAACGGACGCGTCACTTTTCTCGGAGCTCTCCGTGCTGGACTGCTTCGATCGGCATACTCTTCGCTGTTTCGATTTCGAGAAATTGCTTCTCACGTATTTCGATCTACTCCTCTTTTGCACCATAACAGGAACGTCGTCCGTCACGTTGTATTCGAGATCCTCTTTCCTGCACAATCTCTTCCTGGTGTTCTTCTTCACGATCGTATCAGATTCCAGATTCAACGAAGAGATCCCGTTCGGATCCTTCTTGTCCGCGTTCGTCCTTCTCCTCTTTATTCTCTCCGCGATATTTTCCATCGTGATGTTGTTCTCCACTTGCATCTCGAAATCCTCGTCGCACGGCGAACTCAACTTCACAGAAGCGGACGACGACGTTGAGTTTCTCGCTTCGGTTTCGTCCGCGTACTTCGTATTCCTAACGTCCTTTTTTGACCACAGGTTTCTTTGACGCTTCGACTTGCACACCATTCCGTTTCTCACATGAGACTTCCACACTTTTTGTATTTTATCCATGTCCATTTGCTCCTCCAACGTCAACTTTTTACCGACTTTAGTACCATTAATTGTTCTGTTCGTGACTTTCGCGTAATTTTTATTAGTGTCGAACGACACCTCCGACGCGAAGTCCAGTTTATGCGCATTGTCGTGTGTTTGAACTTTCGTTAATTTCTTGGGAATAATTTGTGGCTGATTATAGGACGTTGAAGGTTTCTGCTCGACGCACTCCGTATCTTCCTTACGCGCCTCTTTCTCTTTGAAACACTGCTGCTTACTTTTACCTGCAAGTAACTACGTGTGAGTAAAGATATGTGGGATTTCGTTGGAATTTCGTCGTATTGTTAGGGTTGACGTACCTCGAAATGCACTCCATGAACAACCGATAATTCGTTTTAAGTGTGCCTGAGCAGGAGGTTTTGGTATCACATTAGACATTCTTTTTAATACAGGAACAACTCTAATTAATTTCGGATCTATTTGTCTTCCGTCTAAAATATAATGGGGTTATAAGTAAATATTAGTGAATATACAGAATCGATGGCAATCGCTTTTGTATAGGGAAAATAAGAGTTGAACCTGTGGACATTTTTAATGGCGTTCTCGGCATAGCCTTGATAGGTTTGAAATGGTGAATTTCTTGATTGATACTATCGTGACTATCCGCGCTTTCAGCGCTTCCCGTTCTTTCGTCATCATCGCCCAAGGTCATACATACTTCCACTCCTAAACTTTTCTTCTTGCTATTTACAACATCATTTGGTACATGTAATTCCTCCTTGCTTCGGGTACCATATATTTTCAAAGACACCTTTGTTGTTTCTGTAGGACAGTCCGAGGTACAAGGTTCCATAATTTTTGTTGCTGCATGATGCTTCAAAGTTCTAGTAACAGCATTATATATAGGTATTTGTTTCTGACAACAAAATTTATTCGTACTATCATTGGATTCATTCGATAAGTCATTATTTTTTACATTAGAAGCATGCCTATCTACATGTATTTTAGATATAAGTGCAATATTCTGTCTCCTTAACCCTGAGCCATCTTGATATTCTACTGGAGTCTCCTTTTCACATTCAGAAGTGTGAAATTGCAATCTATACGGATTTACGTCTATCATAGTAACAGCATTAAATTTTGATGTTTGCAAAGAACTACTAGACGTGCTAGGATAATCATTGTAACATTTGCTGACATCTTTATGCTTCTCTACAATTTGTTTTTTTACTAGTGATTTGGCAAGCAGTTGATCTTGAGCCAATTGAGCCATTTGTTGCTGTTGCTCTTCTTCCTGAATTTTGCGAATCAAAGCCTCACTGGCCATCTGTTCAGCCTTTCGTTGGCATTGTCTTTCCTCTTCAGCCATCTGAAGTTGTACTTCATATTCTCTACGAATTTCTCCAGCTGCACTGAGTATTTTATTAGCAGCAGCAAACTCTATATAAAAAGAAAATATCCATATATTTACATTAAACCAATCTAACACATATGACACTTTATAAATAGATTTCATTAAATCATAATTAACTAGCAATGATGTATGTAAACAAAACGTTTCCATAATTGTTTATAAACATCAAATGCATTGAAACAACCAAATTTTACATTTCTTTTTGTCACTTCACAAGTCACAAAATTACACTTGTACAAAATTATTAATTTAATTAATTTACTAATACACATGTGACAATAAGTGTTGCACGAAACCTTAAAATACATACTTTTCTAAATTTACTAGTATGTCACAAATTGACCATTCTGACTTTGCCGATGAATTTAAATATTAATGAATTTTAATGTTGCATTGTAAGGCATAAGTCTACATGGGTTGTCACTAATTCATATGTGACGTTCACATACATTTATAAATCTCTACGTATACGTGTATTCTGCTGACAGAGGTTATGTTACGTTTGTTTATCTCCTGCGATAAGAAACTCACCAGCATCCAATTCGATGTCTTTGTCGTCGCCGTTATATTTGTCCTGAACTTCTTTTGAGAATTTCGTTCGGATGAGTTCCCAGAGACCGTTGTTAACTAGTGTTTCGGTCTTGGTCGCCGTACGTAGCCAAGAACCAACTCGTATTCGACAGAGAGGACAGCTTAGGCTATTGTGTTCAAAAGTACCTTTCAGGCATCGTAAACATAAACTGTGTGTGCACGGTAACGTTACTGGCTCGATCAAGATGCTACGGCACACTGGACATATCAGATCTCGAAGACTAATGTCCACCGACGGTTGTGACAAAGAAATATCAAACAATTTTGACGTTCGCTTCAAATACGTCGCCATCTTCCCATCATTCCTTGAAGAAGCATAACAGCTACTGCCACCATAGCGGGAACCGTGGTTCTCTCGCTAGACAGTAGATTGATGATCGGGCCAATCTAAATCTAATTCTGCCCAAATGAATCGACACTTCTTTCACGTAATGTCTATAGTTTAACCACCGTATGAAATAACCGTCCACCCCACTCCGATCAACTGAGAGTTACGAGTGAAAATAGGAGCTGTCTCTTATAGTATGACACCGAATGATGCATAATATATTATAAAAAAGATAAAGAAAACTGTATAAATTGTGGCAAAACATGTATCCCAATAATAACAGACTGTCGGTCCAATTGCCCTGAGTCATGGTATTTGTAATTTATATTAAACTTTTTTATATCTCCTTAATTATGGAAATACCACATTAAAACAGACTAGTGACAACATCTATGACAAAATGCCAAAGGTACAATTCAATTTCTATTATAACTTTGATAATAGATGGCTCTGTGCTATCAATCGAATACCAGTTTCATTCTGACTTCGATGCGAAAAATATAAAATACCACTATTAAACTTTGCAAGACAGCGTATACAGTACAATACAATGAATATTTACTATAACAAACGGCACCGAAACCGAATACTAAATAATTTGTTCAAACCGTAGATACGACGTATCGTCTTACAACTGTTAAAACATTCATAATATTGTAATAATACAAATGTCAAAATGATTTAATGCAGGGGTATTCAACTGAATGCTGGCAAGCTCCATAGTAACTTTTTCCTCACGGAAAACTACCCTCTCCAGATCTACTTTTGCTGTTGTTTGTGAACACAACATAGAACTGCTTACATACACAATCTCGAACAGTTCCTAAAGTAGTAGCATTGTTCACGAGATCTCTGAAAGGAATGCGAGTCTCATTGGTCAGGTTTCATCTTTTCCCATCCTATTTTCGATACTAATTTGCTGTTGGTTAATATGTTACACTTAGTCGATCAAAACCGTAAAGAAAATCCCTAGCGAGAGACCCCTCTTGCCCTTGTTACGACCCAGGGCTCTACTCGTGAACAACGACCTTACTCATTAGGGGAACCATTGATTAGAGTTACTAGCTTGAGTGGCAGCAATTTAACATCTTCGTTTTAATTGCGGGTTGTTGTTCTCGAGATGTACCCCGCGACGACAGGGTGATAAGAGATCTCTCGCTAGGGATTTTATTTATGATTTTGATCAGTTACGTGTAATCGTATTAACGAATGCAAGTTAATATCGAAAATGAGATGGAAAAGATGAAAGTTGACCAATGAGAGACGCATTCGTTTCAGGGCTTATCTCTTCGTGGTACATATAAATCAGGGGTGTCTAACTGAATCCCCATAATCTAGTAACTCGCGAACAGCATTCCCCTACTACTACTACTTTAGGAGTTGCCCGAGACTGTGTATGCATGCGGTTCTGTATATTGTTCAATACGACAGGTAAAAGTATACATATCGAAAAGATAACTTTTCGCGAAGAGAATGTTACTATGGTAATACAAGTTCAACCTAGTAATTAGCTGAACCGTAGTGTAATTACTTCGATCGTTTATAGAAGTGAGGAAAGTTTGGATTGAGTATACCATATGTACAGAGCATAATAAAATAGAAGATGTTGGTACTACACCATAAATGTGAAAAAAAACCGTTGACTTTAGCTCGTGATTGGTAGAAGTCATCAGTGACATAAATTTAACCAATCAGAAATTAGAAGTATCTTACTAGATATTTTGATTTCAAAGATTTGTATAATTGGAATAAATACTGTTGCAAAGTATTTAAAAGTGAAATTCAAATGTTGAAATTCATTCGAGTCATTTATCGTTCCGTGTTCGAGGTGACTGGAGCTATTGCAAGGACGGAGAGGATTGATATACTTTGATAGATAAATTACGCTGATTCGGAACAATATAATTTTCGATTCGTTGTCGAACATCTTTGCGATTTACATATTTATTCTCATTTTGTTCTCTTATCGAGTGAATTAGATACCATGTCAGGAAAGAGAAAAAGTACGTACTTACACATTAATTACTATATTAATTACTTACGTATTACTTTTACATTCTACCTGTTACGAAATGAAGTGCAGAGAAGAATAAATTATCTTTAAAAAGTAATATGTTTCACTCCGTTTGTCAGATTTATCAATGTTTGTATTACCGATTTACATTATTCATTTCTGCACATTGGCATTCGCTTCGATGTTATTTTATATTTGCAATATACAGTAATGTACATTAATGTACAATATATTTATTTTATAAAATACAGTCGCAAGTCAAACTATCAAAGCATTATCGTTTAACAACATATATTATTTTCATCAATATAATCTATAGAATAATACAATTATTTAAATACTTGTATCCATTAAATACTTTTTCTTACAGCTTACAAAATTTGCTTTTTATCTGGGTATACCGTTAATATTGTTACGAACTATGTACGTGTCGAAAAAAACTGAGGAGAAGTTATAATTTCAAATTGTAAACATAACACATTTTATCGGGGTCACGAATCATTTCGTACACAGCAAGCCGAACGTTACATTCTATTTACAAGACTTTTCGTAAATAGCGAACCGAACGTTGAGGTCAATTTACGAAATATTTCGTGTACAATTTCAAACCAAAGGTTGAGGTCGGGTTATAAGTACAAATACGCGAGTACTCGATATTTGGGGTTCGGCTGGGAAAAATTCGGGCGGATTTGAGAGGGTTCGATTAGGCGTCCGTGGTGAGTGCATCAATGCAGTGACCCTCGCTTAAATTTTAAAAATGTCAGGCACCAGCATTAAAATTCTCGCGAGGAGGGAAGCCTTTTACTCCCCGAATTGACTCGAGACAGTGATATCGATACAATGAGCGGAAGCGGGACGGACACAGTTCGTTGGGTATCGAGGGTCAAAACACGGGACTTCAAAGCGATGCTGCACGGGTCAAGTTTAAGACGTTGAACGCCGCATAATTTCATAGAACAAAATACACAAAATGGAAAAAATATAATATTAAGTCATTTGATTGAATTGCATTATTATTATTACATGTTCACCTAGCTGAACGTCACCGCATTAGTTAATAATATTTATAATATAGAAATGTTTTGAAATCAACGTTTAATTGAATGAACTATAGTAATTCGATTTGGTTGGGAGTCACCGGTGACCCCCACGGCATTCAACGTGTTAAACATACGATAAATGTAGTATCGGCGAATTGTTGAAATTTTTCTGGTTAAAATGAGCCCGAACACGACGTGAACCGGAGTAGTTTTACCGATTTAATGTAATTAACGAAATTAAAGATACATTTCCTCTAAATCAATAAAACTGGACTAATTTACGTCATGTTTGGAGTCATTTTAATCGGAAGAATCTCAATAAACTACTGAGACGGAACTATAGGGAATTTTATTTTCTATCGTTACGCCTTGCTTCACCGCGTTCAGTCTCGCTTCCGACCTTAGTTATTGCCGCGCGCCAATAACGACAATGCGTAGAAAGCTAAGGTGGCCTGAGCATTACGAGTAGAAGAATCCCCTTGCTCCTATGCAGTTGTGAACCTTACGCTATGCAGTGAGGCATTTGCGCTGCAAAGCTGGCCAAAAGGTCAGATTTTATTTTCGAGTAAAATGAATAATATCTCTTGTCCCTGTACTCTTGATTAGTTATAAAAGCAAACTGTAACATTGTTTCTTCAAAAATACCGATATTTAGAATAAAAAATTTGGTTTGTAAAGGTATGTAAAGTAAATTTCTAACATTTTTTTTCTTTATGGTTTTTACGAACCAAGTATGATTCTGATTTCCGTAAAACGAAATCGAAATAGTAATTGAAAACTGTTTTTCTCCACAAAACTACTCTCTGGATTTTATGTATCTTAACATTTAGACATTACTTTATATAATTATTGAAAAATTTGCTTGCCCAGAGCTGCCCAGGCTACATACTTTTAACATTTTAGCATAATTTAAGGGGCATTCTAGTGTAATGGGTCGAAAAAAATCAGATTGCTCTACACATATCAAAAATATATATTTTTTAAAAAAACATACTCCTACACTCTTAAAGTCATATTTGACAAAATCAAGACGTTGAAATTTAATTAGTACGACAAATAAGAGATTTTTTCAAAGATTTCCGATAACATGACAAAAAATTGTTTAAGCAAAAGATGAATGGTATTCAATCATTTATAAATTGTAATATACAACATTCCGAAAAATAATCTTTTAACTAAAAAATAGTAATGCGACCTTGGCAATTTTCGAGGACGTTCAATTTTTAACTTTATAGTATAGTAGCTAGTGTATATACAAATCCATTAATGTGGTACATGACCATTTTTGAGCTTTAAATAACGCTGTGATAGTTTTTGACCAGCTTTTCGAGTAAGACGCCCCATTGTGCGGTGCTCCGCTCAGAAGAGACAAACTGTACTCGGGTAGCCCGATCTACTTGATTCGTTCTGATCGTCAACCCCTTACGGAGTACTACTCTCTCCATATCTACTTTCTCCTGATTCTATTTAACTCCTTGGCTACAGTAAAATTTTGCGTCAGCCCCGCATTTCTAAGAAAATGCATTAGAACCATGAACACACTGAATTGAACTAAATTAAACCAATGTAAAATAATTACACTGAATTCAATGTAGTGGTAGCAAAAGTTTTTGGTGATCATCTCGAAAAGCCTTCCGTGAGTAACATATAAAAGAAAAAATTGTTCAAAATTATGTTCTTCATAATATATTAAGAAATCATTGAAATCGAAAGGTGTTGACATATCAGAAACTACCCCTCTTCTTCTTGTAATGAATAATTAACAATAAAGTAATATCATTAAATACAATTGCAAAATAAATCACGGAACAAGAGGTTAAGGGGATCGGAATGAATCAAGTGGATTAGGTTGCTCCAAGCTGTGCCGAGTTGCCAGAACAGTCTCGAACTGCTTATAGAAATTAGGCTACTCGATTACCGTAGAGCAATGGGCGTACCCTTCAGCACGTCCGAATTTTTCTGGCGCGACCTAAACAGTTGCGTACTCAACACACTATAGCAAAAGTACCTTACTCACCTCATGCTAGTAACTCGAAAACAGCGTTTCCCCGCTACCTCTACTACATAAACAATTCTATGTAAGTAGTGTTCAATACAAGCAGGTAAAAGTAAGTATAGAGACTGAAAGGTAATTTTTCGTGAGGGGAGTGTCACTAGAGTGCTGGCAAGCTCCCAGTTAAACACCCTTGCACTAGAGTACAGTTGACTTACCGTTTTCATGCTCAGTTCGAACAAGTTTTAAAGAGGGAGAAGCAAGGGGAATCGACCCCATGCTCCACCTTGATACTCCTAGGAAGCATAGTAGCCAAGCCCCCATGTCCCCTGGATTCAATAAACAAAAAGCCATCGCTGCGCAGAAACGAAATTCTACGCCAATATTTTGCAACTGTGCACTTTTAACTTAGTGGTGCTGGAGGGGAGGGGGGTGTGGATATGGTAGGTCAACTGTACTAACAGAACCGCATACGCCTACTTTATTACGAGGCATTTCCTACATAGGGAAGGATGATGAGTCAGACCACTCAAAACCTAAAAAGGCGCCAGAAAAGAAAAAAGGACATCGGAAAGAATCTACTTCGCAACAACAACAACAGGAACAATCTACTTCACGACAACAGGAACCATCTACTTCAGTACAACATGAACACCCTCTTTCCAAAAAAGAACAACGGCACTACAAAAGAAAATTAGCTGAAGAACAAGCGCAACAACAAAAGCCACCTGCTCTACGACAACATGAAAAACAGCAACAACAAACACCACCTACACCTGAACAGCAACAAACACCGCCTACTCCACA